CCTTGCTGGCCTTGGGGCCATTCCCACCACATGCCAGCATCCCGGCCTGAGCCAGGAGGGCCCCGAGGCCACCTGGTCTCCCTGGGCTGGGCTTCCCACATGGGGCTGCACCCCTGTCCCACAGGTGAACTGAGCCCGCTGGCTGGGACCGGGGCCTGCCACCTCTGTCCCACCTGTGCCCACTCGCTGGGGAGCCGCCCCGCCTGCCCTGGAAGAGGCTCCAGGGCCACACGTGCCCCACGCGGTAGGTGTCAGGTGTTTCACTTAAATCAGCTTGTTTTGCAGAACGTTGCTTGAAATTACAATAAGTTGTTTTCGTAGGAAATTGCTGTACATGTGCTACCCACCCCGAGAGCCCCACACCAGGCATTCTGGGTGTTCCTGCTCTCATCTGTTCTTTTTATTTTTTATTTTTGTAGAGACGAGGTCTCACTTTGTCCAGGCAGGTCTTGAACTTCTAGGCTCAAGAGATCTCCTGCCTCAGCCTCTCAGAGTGCTGGGATGACAGGCGTGAGCCACTGCATCTGGCCTTGGCTGTCCCTTCTTAACACGCTCAGTGGCCCCTGTGGTTCACGTGAGAAACTGAGGCACAGGAGTGAGGCCCTTGTCCTGTCATGCTGAGGCTGGATGGACACAGGGCTCACAGCTGGCCCTTGTTCTGAGCTGGGGCCTCTCAACCCGGGCTTGAGGTGGAGACGAAGAGGGGCCGAGATCTTAGGGCCCCCTTCCCTGGGTGGGGTCACTGCACCAGGGCAGCTGGTACTGAAAGGGGCCTCATGGGCAGGTGGCATGGCTGGGAGCCCTGTGGCCACGTCAGCCTTACAGTTGTGCTTGTCTGACCGCCTGTCTGGGCTCATGAGAACCCTGACCTTGAAGGGCAGTTATGGCCGTGACGTTCAGCACGTGAGTCCCCAGCATCCCCTAGAATTGGGGGATCCCTGCAGCTTGCACAGGTGTGGGGCAGGTGGGGGCTGGATGCCACCAGCCTGCAATGGGGCTGCCCACTGGGCCTGTGGTGAAGATGCCCGCTTGCAGGCATGTGATGCTTGTGCATGTGTGTGCGTGCATATGCATGTGTGTGTGCGCACATGTGTACCTGTGTGTGCACGCATGTGTGCCTGTATACCTGTGTCTACGTGTGCCTGTGTGTGCATGTGTGTGTGCCTGTGTGCACGTGTGTGTGCCTGTGTGTGCATATGTCTGTGCCTGTGGGCGTGTGTGCACGCCTGTGTGTGCATGTGTGTGCCTGTGTGCACGTGTGTGTTCGTGTGTGTGCCTGTGTGCATGTGTGCCTGTGTGTGCACGTGTGTGCTTGTGTATGCATGTGTGTGTGTGTGCCTGCGTGCACGTGTGTGTGCATGTGTGTGTGTGCCTGTGTGTGCATGTGTGTGGCTGTGTGCATGTGTGTGTGCCTTTGTGTGCCTGTGTGCATGTGTGTGCCTGTGTGCATGTGTGTGTGCATGCATGTGCGCACACGTGTGCCTGTGTGTGCATGTGTTGAATTTCCGGTGAAAACTGCATCCCAGAATTTATTGTCCCCATGATCTCAGGGCCACTCAGGGGTGTGTAGAAGGCCCTGGCCCCGAGCCCTGGTGGGGGCTCCATCGTGGCACCATGGGGTCTCCGGAGCCTGGGGGTCCCTCTCTCCCAATGCACTCGCTTGGTGGCAAATGGCTGGGAGCAGCATTTCTGTCCTGGCCGGGGAGCGCTTGAATGCGCTGAGCAATGGGGGAGATAAGCGTGTGAGGTGTTGTTCCGGGAGCAACCTGGTGATAGGAGCCGTGTCTCCGCCTGGCTGGAGAACAGGGCCTGAGGACTGGACAAGTGGGCGATTGTCCCGTCTCATGCCCATCGCTGGCCCTGCCCTCTACATCCATCTGTGTGGCCTGGCCCTGAACAGCGGTCACTCTGGGCCTGGTGTGGCTGTGAAGTGGGAGCACAGGGTGGGCCCTGGGTCCCAGCTTCCCGGCTGAACTGTGAGGGTGGGCGCTGTCTCCTAGACCCGAGGGGCTCCCCGGACAGGTGTGAGCAGACCTTCGCTTGGACTTGAGGCCTTCGCCCCTGCAGGTGTCTCCAGGAGGCTTCCCTCACAGGAGGCTGAGGCCCTGGGTCTGCTGGGACTCGTATTCACGGAGGTGCTGGGATGGACCTGCTGGTGGCCCCCCGCCCCTCGGCCGGCCCCTTCCCCGCCTCTGCCCTGCTGGGCCCTGTGGTCAGGTGTGACGTCCCCTGGAGGAGAACAGGTGGGGCTTCACCCCCAGAGGCTTGGCAGCTGGTCCCCATCAGATCAAAGCACTGAAAGCTGTGGCTTTGGGGAGTGTTCGGGAAAGATTTCAAGCCCGGGAGTGGGCACGCGCCCAGGCTCGGATCCCTGCCATATCCCGTCCGAGGCACGGGCCCAGTGCTGGCTGGCAGAGCTCAGCATGGCCAGCCAGTGCCCAGGTGCATGCCCGAGGGGGCGCGCCACGGCTTCCTGTTGATCCGGATGCCCGATGTCTTGGGAGGCACTGACCCTGTGCCAGGTCCTGGAGCCCACTGCTTGGGGAGGTGGTGGGAACCCCGAGACCCTGGGGACAGAGTGGCTGGATGCAAAGTCCCCCAAGGGGCAGGGGGATGGCAGGGAAGGAGCGTCAGGCCTGGGGGAAGGTCACCTGCCCCACCCTCCCTCCAAGGCCCTTGTGTGGCTGGGTGGGGCTGGCCCTGGGTCTTCTCCGTCTCCCCCGTCCCTGAGCGTCACTGGTGACCTCCCCGTGGGCTTGTCCAGCTTGCCAGTACCCTGTGGTTTCCTGCGGTTTCACCTCCTGAGCATGTTGAAACACTCCTAGTCCAGTTCCTGCCTGTAGCCACCCCCATCGAATCTGGCCTGCTGTGGCCCCCACCCTGCAGCCACGCGTGTGTGGTGCCCACTCATTGTCTCCAGCACCTCAGAGGAGGCCCTGCCTGGCTCCAACGCTCCCTGACCTCTGGCCTGTATTCCCCTCCTTGGCCAACTCTGCTTCTCCACCAGCCTTGCAGACCCCCCACCTCAGCTGCTGGAGTCCACCCTGCTGGAGGTAGAAACAGAGCCAGCTGCGTGCCACAGGTGAGGGCCTACCCCAGGGCCTGGGGAGGGGCAGCATGACCCCGGGAGGGCAGCTGCAAGGGCCGGGCAGTGCAGCTCACCCGGGCGACCACCAGCCCACCCTCCTCAGTGAGACCCCACAGCCCCTGTCCAGTGATGTTCGAGGGCCAGGGCTCCCCGGGCATCCACCTGTCTGCACTTTCAGACTTGACTGCTTGGTGCCTGGGCTGGGGTCTGGGGGCACTGCCCCTCCCCGTATCCCTGGGACCCCCTTCAGGAGCCGGACACTCGGGTGCACACAGCTCCCACTCCCACCCCCAGCCCAGCCCCAGCCCTGTGCTGTCCGTTGCCCACAGTCCACTGTGTGGCTTCGAGTGGACCAAAGGTCTTGTCTGGCTACAGGAGGGGCCCTGGTAGTTGCTGGGCCTGGAGGTCGCTAGGATGCTGGGCCTGGAGGTGGCTGGGATGCTGGCCTGGCCCCCAGGTCCAGGGCGGGTTGAGGAGTGGCCAGCAGGAGCCACTGCCTGAGGCTGGGCTCAGCCCAGGCCAGTAGACTCACGTTCCAGAAAGGGCTGGGGAACTTGGCACCTGCCCTCCTCCAGAGACGGGTCCTTGTCCTTTTTGTCTACTTATG